TCACGCCATTCCTGTTTATCAGCCTCGTCATGACTGGTCTCGGCCTCCTCTGCTGCGCCCCCGTGGCCCTTCTCGCCCTGTGCGGCACTTTGCTTCCCTCCGCGCTGCGGCAGCTTACCTCGGGCGCCGTCGGCCTGACGCAGAGCGGCGTCGTCGCCCACGCGTTATCGAGCGCGAAAGCCTTTGCCGTCGAGCGGCCGGTGCAATCTGTTGCTCTTGTGGGCGGCGTTATGACCGCTTCGCCCCTCGTGCTCCTCCTCCTTGCGGTCGGCGCCTTTTGGTACATCGTCCTCTTCCCGTTGACGGTGCCCCTCACCCTCTACCTCGGCTACACTCGCCTGTTGCCGCCGCTGAGGGAGGTTCTCACTGACCCCGCCACCGGAAGACTCGAGTGGCAGTGGCCCAAGCACTGCGCGTATCGGCCCTACGCCGAGGTCCCCTCGGGCGACTCAGAGGACGAGTCGGACGACGCCTACATGCACCTTGACGGCCTGCGGCCCGTCCGCGCCGCGCCGAGGATCCGGAAGGAAGACCAATGACAGGGTTGCTTTCTGCAGCTCCCCAGCCGCAGACGTTTCAAGAGAGAGATTTTTAGCAATACCTTGTTTTGTGGCGTTTCGATGTTTGGGGTAGCGATGACGAGTCGGTGCGAGCTTTGAGTGTCGAGTGGCTACAGAGATGTATGTATGTATGTAGGAAGGTGAAGAACATCGGACTGGACACCAACGCGGTATGGGTGGACGCGAGAGAGACAGCGAGGCCGGTGTTATTCTTCAATCCACCTGCTGGCTCGCTCGAGAGCCACTCGGCTCGCCGCCCAGCGGTACGCGGTACGGCCAGATCCCAATACCGCGCCCGCTGTGCCTACGCCGCTGATCGAGCTTTAGCCTGACCGTCACACTATGCTCCTCCTGCCGACGCTCGCGCATGTGACCCACGCCACTACTGGTCCCGCGTCGCGGGCGGCCGCATCTCGCGTGTCGCGAGCGCCGCTCATGGCTGAGCAGCTGCGTGCGCCGGACGGCTCCTTTGGCGCAGAGCTGGGCGTGGACGATGAGCTTTCGTACGGTGTGCGACTGCCCGACGAGGCCGACGACGAGGCGGACTGGCTCTTTTTCGACCGCGCGCGCATCTGGGTGCAGGCAGGCGACGGCGGCAACGGGTGCGTTGCTTTCCGGCGCGAGAAGGACAAGCCAAAGATGGGGCCGGCGGGCGGCAACGGCGGGCGCGGCGGCTCCATTCACCTCGTCTGCGACGAGGGACTCAACATGCTCAAGCAGGAGGTCCACTTCCGAGCGACGGGCGGCCAGAACGGCATGGGCAAGGCGCGGCACGGCGAGTCGGGCGGCGACGTCACGGCCAGCCGCTCTCTGTCAGAGTTCTCTCCCTTCGCACGCGAGGTGCGTGGCTCACTCTCGGTGAGTGGCGCTGGTAGGTGCGCGTGCCGCCCGGCACGGTCGTGCGGCAGGACGAGGACGACGCGCTGGTGGGCGAGGTGCTGCGGCACGGCGACAGCATGCGCGTCGCTCGCGGAGGGCGAGGAGGGCGCGGGAACGCAGCCTTCAAGACTGCCCGGGACACGACGCCTCGGCTCGCGGAGCAGGGCGAGCCGGGAGGGCAGCGCTGGCTCAAGCTCGAGCTCAAGCTGCTCGCGGACGTGCCTCGCGCGCGCTGGCCACGCCGCAGCCCGCCCGAGCCCCCTCGGCACGGGAGCTTGTTCGGATGGTAGGTTGGCTTGGTCGGCGTACCCAACGCGGGCAAGTCCTCTCTCCTCGCCGCCGCCACGAACGCCAAGCCGAAGATTGCGCCGTACGCCTTCACCACCGTCACCCCCAACTTGGGCGTCTGGCGCTCCGCGGCGGACACCGAGGCAGACGCCCGCTCGCTAGCGCCCCGGGGCTTGAGGCGGGGCAGGGCTGAGGCGGCGCGCCCCTCGCTGCAGGCGTCGCTCGTCCTCGCCGACATCCCCGGCTTGCTCGAGGGGGCGCACGAGGGCAAGGGTCTGGGGCGCGCCTTCCTGCGGCACATCGAGCGCTGCAGGCTGCTCCTGCACGTCGTCGACGGCACGCGCCCAGACCCGCTCGGCGACTTTGAGGTAAAGGTTTAGCCTACCTAACCCTAACCCTAACCCCAGCCCAGACCCGCTCGGCGATTTGAGGCCGCGCGCGCGTGCGCCGACGCGGCGGAGCCCGCACACGCCAACCGCCGCAGCGGACCCTTGTGCAGGCGGTCAACACCGAGCTGCGCCTCTTCTCGCCCCGCCTTGCGAACAAGCCCCAGGCGCGCAGAGCCGCCCTCGCACCGACAAAACGACCCGCCGACCCGCTTTGGCTCGCCTCGCCAGGTCATCGTGCTCAACAAGCTCGACGTGCCCGCCGTCGCGGAGGCGGCCCCGCAGCTGCTGGAGAGGCTCGCCGCCGCCGCCGGGCATAAGTGCGCGCTGCCTCCGCGCAGGCACAGCCGCAGCCTGAACGCGCTCAGACCCTTTGCACTCCCACCGCAGGCGCGTCCTCGCCGTGTCTGCGGCTTCGCGCGCAAACGCGCCAGCTCCAGCGGGGTAGCCGCGCCCTCTCTTGCCCTGCTGAGCCGGCCCCGCTTCCCTCCCTAGGTGCCTGCGCTGATGGGCCGGCTCCGAAAGCTCGTCGCTTCGGCGCCCGCCGAGCCGCCCCCGTCGGTGCTCGAGCCGACCGTCGCGCTCGACGAGGTCGAGGAGGCGGCCGAGTGCAACGTCGTGCCGGTCCAGCCGCGCGTGTGGGCCGTCTCGGGCGCGCGCATCGAGAAGGCCGCGGCGATGACCAATTGGGACTACCACGAGGCGCAGGAGCGGTTCCAGCGCATCATGGGGGCGCTCGGTGTCTCCGCCGCCCTTAAGCGGGCGGGCGCCGAGAATGGCGACACCATCATGGTCGGAGCCGTCGACTTCAAGTACTACGAGGAGACGGCGATGGCAGTGCGGGCGCGGCTTGCCGGCTACGGCGACCGCGAGGAGGAGGAGGAGCTTGGGGAAGGGGAGGGCTACGAGGCGGCTCGCGAGCGCGCGCGACGGAGAGCGGCAGTGGATGCGGAGCTACTCGAGCTTCTTGAGAGCGATGGCGAGGTGGAGCAGTTCTGACTGACTACCAGACTAGGCACAGATCTGGGGCGTCTCTCCATTATTCCGAATCTCTGGGGTGTCGCGACATATGCAGTCTGGAGTCTTCGTCCGCTGGCAGGCAGCAACATTGCGGTCACTCTCGGACTGTGTGTCAACTCGTCCAAAAAACGAGAAGCACTTTGGAGTTCTTTTCTACTTTGCTCGCACAGCAAAAAAATCCGGTGCTCGCGCGCCGCTCCCACGCTCGACCACACACTCGCTGCACTGCTCAAAGCCAACCCTACCTCACTGGCCGCCTCCAACACTGTCCCGCGCGTCTCGCGCCCCAACTGACAACTCATCTCCCGCGCACCGGCCACGAACTCGACTCGCACAGCAAAAAAAATCCGGTGCTCGCGCGCCGCTCCCACGCTTGACTCTACACACTCGCTGCACTGCTCAAAGCCAACCCTATCTCACTGGCCGCCTCCAACACTGTCCCGCGCGTCTCGCGCCCCAACTGACAACTCATCATTGTCCCTCGGACACCACTCTCCAGCCGCGCTACCTTCGCCCACCCACCGCTCTCGCATGACATCTCGACAATCCTCACATCTCCAGGCCTAAGACTCCTAACCACTGCCCCTGCTCGCCCAGGACCACAAAGCGCCACCCGCGCGCCCATTGACCCCCCAATCAACCCACTTGCTGTCCCTCAATCGCCACCCGCCAGATGTACTTCCCTTGCCCACCCAATACTCTCACCCTCCTGACCCGGACAGTCCAGGTACAGGAAAAGCGGGGAGCGGGGCCCGATCCAAGGAGCACCCCGTCGGCCCGGGAGGGCTGTGAATTTCGGCGCGGGCGGAAGGCTGCCTGCAGACGCTCAGCCCCCAGCTGAGCTGCCGAATCCTCCCGGCTAATCCCCTGACCTGCCGCCTGAAACGGGACAACATTACACCACCTCGCACACACTCCCACCTCAGGGCTAAGCAGTGCGCAAGTCCACCCGAACTCTAGGCGAGGCGTCGACCACTCCTTCGGAATAGCTCTGTCAGTGGCTGCACTAGACGCCCAGAGATGGCGCGCGGCGCGGGCGGATGACTGGAAGAGAAAATGCGGAGATGCTAGCTCGCAGGTAGATGTGCTCAGCCAAGGGTAGGGGATGAGGGGAATGTGTCAGTGTGAGGGGTGCACCAACCGCAGAGCGTTGTGCTTTGCCTTTAAGACTTGAACAGTTTTTTTTTCTACTTTGCTCCGGAAAGAGCGCGGGCGCCGCGCCGCGCCGGGCGCCGCGCCGCCGGCGCCGCGCACACGCCCGGCGCGCCGAGGCTCCCGTCTCCCGAGCGATCGCCCCCGGCCCCGTGGCAAGAACCGCTCTCTACCCACGTCAACCCGGCAAGAGAGATCCTCCCCCGCGCGCGCCCCGCCGCCGCCGGCCTCGAGCGTGCAGGATCCGTGGTCCGTGGACCCCGCGTGTGCGCCGAGACGTCGCGCGGGGCGGGCGGGCGGCGCCTAGGCCCTAGCCCCAGGGCGGCGCGGCCCGAGTGCCGCGCGCGGATAAGCGCGAGATCGTCCGGACGGATTGCGCACGAACGAAACGCGATTCGGCGAGGGGGGGGTAGGAGGGGTGGGTGCAGGGTGGGGGCGAGCTGCCGATGGTGACCTGGTGACGCTGACGGTTCCCTTCCGTGGGGGGCGCATGAGGCATGAGGTGGACTGAAGGAAAAGAACGAAAACAGACAACCCAAGGGAGGGATGGGAGGACGGCACAGGGATTTTAAAGTGAGCTAGCTATGAAGGGGCTGGCATTTTTTCTGCGCCCACAAAAGTAAAAACCAGGAGTCAAACCGCCACGGTTACATCGACCGAACAGAGACAGAGCGCGACCGGCGGGCAGGTCGCGGCCCAGCGTGACGTATGCACGATGGACGCAGTGGAGGGGAAGGAGTGTACCGCCGAGGGTGACGGTCTCACTGGGTTCACGGCGCAGCAAGTGCCAACCTCATTCACCATCGTCGCAGCAGGCTCCGGCGGCGCACGGCTCACGACCGGTGGCGGCTCCTTCAAGGTCAGCGTTCGAGGCCAGGTGAGCAAATGGCTTGTCGTGCTGTCTCTGTTTACACCGTGCACGCGCACACCGCCGCCGTCATTCGCCGTTGCAGGCGGCTGTCAAAGAGCAGATTGCTGACAATGGCGACGGCACCTACACCGTCTCGCTCACGTACCCTCAGTCAGGGCGGTATGAGGTCTCCATCAGCCATAAGCATGCGCCTATCCGTGGCTCGCCATTCACTGTGCAGGTCCACGCAGCGCGCCGGCCGCCAGCTCCGCCGCCGCCACGCCTGTCCGCCGATCGATTGAGACTCGAATGGGACGCGCCGAGCCACACCGGTCACGCTGCAACCCATAGCCACGGCCATCTTGACCCGTCGCACACTTTCTTCTTTTGCTCGGCTAGGCGGCACGCCCATCAAGACATATCGTGTCAGAGCGATGGCACGCTCGCTCGGCGGCGGCGATCCCACGCTCGTGTCAGAGCTGACCGGTGACGTGCTCAGCTGTGAGGTCCCGGAGCGATTTCGCGGAGCGGACCGCGCCTCTGCTCTCTACCACGCCTTCACCGTCTCCGCCGAGAACTCAAAGGGTGAGAGTGATCAATCTGAGCCCGGGCCGCAGCCGAGACTGTTCGATCGCGCGCGAATCGAGGCGGAGCGAGACGCGATGGAAGCCCTACACAACTCCCTCGCGTCGAACGGACCTGTCCCAATCGGAGCTTTGGTCAGTGCTGTCGGTGAGGATACCGCCGTGCGTTCCGCGGCGGCTGCGGCGCCCTCCGCACCAGAGGTGGCTGCAAGCGTCATGGGTCGTCTCCGTGCCGCAGCGGCAATGACGGACGAGGCAGAGGCAGTGCTTGCCCATCAAGGCGATGGGATGGGCGCTGTGGCAGAAGAGGCCTCGATGGCACTCTCATCCGCGGACCTCACTGCGGCGATGGAACAGGCCGAGGCGGTTGCGCGCTTGCTGCACGTCTGGGACGTTGCTACGGAGGCGGACGGAGGCGGCTGCATAACATGCGCCGAGTATGCGGCGAGCGCCGCAGCCGACCCCGCCATCGGGCGGGCCCTCGCGGCGCTTCCGACGCTACGCGTAGCGATAGATCAGCTCACGCAGTCTCATGCGGGTGACCTGTCACGCTCACAACTGGAGGCAGCGCTGCGTGATGCACTGCCGCCCTTGGCGGTGGAGCGGGAGGCGAGAATGCGGCGGGAAGCGGCCGAGGGGCTCCTGCGCAAGGAGGAGGATGCAAAGCGGCAGGCCGAGGAGGAGGCGAGGAAGAGAGAAGAAGAAGCTGCGGCTGAGCGCGCGCGACGCAAGGCGGCAAAGGAGGCGGCGGCGGAGGCGGCGGCCGCAGAGGCGGCCGCACGGGAGGCGCGAAGGCGCGAGGCGGAGGGTCGCGCAGCGAGGGGAATGGTGCGCGCCGCCGAAGAGCAGCGGGCAGCGAGCTCGCGAGCTGCGGCGAGCAGGGCGGTCCGTGAAGCGGCGAGGCTAAAGGACAAAGCTACCGCGGAGGCGGAGTCGGAGGCGGCGATGTCGGCAGCAGTGTCGCGCTGGGCCGAGGAGGATGCAGCGCTCGACGCGGAGCATCGCGCCAGGGCAGAGGAGGTGGAGGCTCGTGTCTCTGCGGCGAAGGCGGAGACAGAGGCGCGCATCGGCGAGGCCGACGCGCAGGCGCTGCGCTGAGAGTCTGTCATATACATATTAAGACTCTTCCTCACCGGTCTGGACCCCATGCTCAGGCGCTCGCCGCCATCGCCGCGGCCCGCAACATGCGCAGCGAGATTGAGGGGCTCCGCGCTCGCACCCGGGTGCAAGAGGCGAAGGCGTCAGCGGACGAGGCGGCGGCGGTGGGCGTAGCAGCAGCGACGGCGGCGGCGGAGGCTGCCACAGCCGCCGCTTCCCGCCGCGCGGATCGCTTTGGAGAGGAGGCGCTGGCCGCTCGGCGCGCGGCAACCGCCGAGAGGCAGGCACGATCGGCGTCGAGAGCGCTCGCCGCCTGCGCCCACTTCCCCGCCGCGCGCACCCTCATTCCGGGTGCTCCCTGCGATGCCGCACAGGCGAGCCGCCAGCCTTTGAGTGCCGCCGCTGCGACCCGAGTCCGTCGCCAGCCGAGCCCACCGTCGGGGGGGTCTCGCTCGAGCACTCGGGCTGGAACGGCGAGGTGAGGGTGTGGAGACTGCCCGAGCATCTGGACCGTGGAGAGGGCTGAGGGGGGCGTTAGTCTCTGAGCGCGTGTCGAGGCTGCAGAGTGAGATGTGAAGGAGAATTTCACAACAAAACTCCGTTGCACAGCATGGGGGGGCGCACTTGGAGCATTTTTGCAGCATATTTTTGCGGGACTCTGCACAGTGCAGGACTTTTCGGTGGCGCCTCATATCCAGGGCCGGGGGGAGCCGTACGAAGCCTTGATGCTTGAAGCGCACCCAGCGGGCCGGATGATCGGGATCGGGCTACGTGCAAAAGAGTCCTGACCCATGGGGGTGCGCGTTCGCACTTCGCACAGGGAGGGGGGCCGTAGAAGAAAACAGAAATTTACAACAAACTCCCTCGCACGACACTAGGGTCTAGGCACGGGACTGGCGCGCAGAAAACAGACAACGCAAGGGAGGGATGGGAGGACGGCGGCACGCCGCCACCGGCCGTATAGTACGACGTTTTAGAATTCTTTTGTGTGTGAGGCAGTGGGCGGCGCCAGCCCACGCCCCGTGCTGAGAGAGGAGCGGTCGTCGAGTGCCTCGTTGGAGTGGCGCCAGATGCTCTCTGTACTCTGGCTCTCCGCACTGGCTCCGCCGCTCACGCCGCCGCGCGTCTCTGGACGAGGCGCTGGCTGGGTGGAGGTTGCGGTGCAGCTGGACGAAGTCTCTCTGACTGTCCTCGAGGGCGACATCAGCATGCAGGACGAGCTGGTCGACTCGGCGCTCACCGTCGACGATTCAGCAGCGGATGAGGACCCGTACGGCGTCGTTCTGTGGCCAGCGGCGCAGGCGGTCGCTCGCGAGCTCGTCGCCCTGACTGATGGTTCCGGCGAGCCGCTGCTCCGCTCAGGCAGCGTTCTCCTCGAGCTCGGCGCAGGGACAGGGCTGGTCTCAATCGCCGCCGCGTCGGTCGGTGCGACGGCGCTCGCCACCGACTACCGCCCCGAGCCGCTGGAGCTGATCGAGCGCGCGACCGCGAGCAACTCCGAGCGGCTCGGGAAGGCGCTCGCCGTGACGACCTCAATCTTTGACATCTGCGACGAGGCGGCGACGCTGCCACCCGCCGACGTTGTCGCAGCGGCGGACGTGTTCTACTTCGCCTCGACGGGCCGCGCCCTCGCCCGGCGGTGCGTGCAGGCGCTGCGCTCGGGCACGCGGCTCGTCGTGATTGGGGACTGCGACCGGCCGGGCCGGGGCGCCTTTTTGGAGGAGCTGGTCGCGGAGGGCGTCTCGCCGTCTGCGGCGCGGTTTCAGGACGTGAGCGGCTGGACGGCGGGGACGGCGCGCAACGACCTCGTCGCTCCGGACGACTCGGCGCCGCGTCCTGTCAGCGTGGGCGTGCTCAAGCTGCACGCGGCGGACCTGGAAGGGAGCGGCGCCGGGCTCGAGGGGGGCGGGGTGGGGCGGGACCCGCTGCAAGAGGCGTCGCGGCTGCGAGGCGGGCGCGCCGGTGAGGGCGTGTCGCCTCGCATCCGCGCCTTCCTGCATGCCGTCTGCGAGCCGGCGCCAAACAGCACCTCCGTTGAGCTCTGCCTGCACACCGCCCTCCTGCTGGCCGCCTCGAGCAGCGCGGTCAAGTCGGTGCTCGACGACCAGTGGGCCGTCATCCGCCACCGGCCCCAGGCGGACCAGGCTAAGGGGCTGCGTCTAGACGGGTAAGCTTGTCTCTACAAAGAGTTTCCAAGCTCCCTTCTGCTTGAACCAGTGCCAGGCGCGTTTCTTTTTCTTCTCTGCAGTCCTTCACATGGCGGCCAGCTCAGATGACGGCCACGCCTCCGCAAAGGGCCTGCAGGGCTTCGTCGAGCTCAACCTCTCTGAGATTCCATCCCCGCCCTCGGGCGAAGGGCTGGAGTTCTTTGTCGATCACGACGCCGCCATCGCTGCCAGCGCCGGCGCTCCTCTCGACGCGGCGCAGCAGCAGCAGCTGGACGAAGAAGACGCCAGGTCGGCGCGACTCGTGGCCTGGCTGGAGGCGCATTTCGGCAAGCTGCCGGAGGCGCTGCGTGAGGCAGTGCGGCACCGATGGATCGACAACAGCACGCGCCTCAGCGGCATCGACCAGATTGTCGCCGCGGACGCGGACGACCATCTGGTCGCCTCGCTCGCCAGGCTGATAGAAGGCGACGCACCTCCCGCACAGCAGCAGATCATCACGGGCCTAATCCGCCTCTCCGGCGACGACGAGCTTCGGCTCCGACGGATCGACGCGGACAACACCCTTGCCGAGGAGGAGCGCTGGCCCGCCGCCGAGCCGCAGCTCGGCGCGAGGCCGTTGCTCCGCTGCCTGCTGCGGCGCGTGAGCGCGGAGGACGTGATCGCCGCGGCAACGCGCACCGACCTCACCCTCCTCTACAGCATGCTCGGCGTGCGGCTGCCCCCGTACGGCGGCCAAACGCGCAAGCGGAAACGTCCCACGCCTTTTCCGCGCGGCCGGGTGCGCGAGGAGCGGGACGACGTAAACAGGCTGCTCAAGCTCCTCCGGCAGATGCGGCGCGCTGGGCAGAGCAGCTATGCGGATAAGATCCTCCGCGCAGCGACCGCGGGGGCGGGTCGGGAGGCAGAGCGTCGGATTGCGCGACTCGTCACGTGGGTTCGGTGTGACAAGACACTTCCTCGACATTCCTTAGGCGCGGCACGACCTGCTGCCCGGCACAACGACCCGCTCTGCCGCTTGCGCGGTCGCGGCGTGCGGCGGGCCGCTGACCCTCGGCTGGGCGCCTTTCCGCATCGCGACCACCAGGCAGTGGCTGATCGAGGACGTGAAGTTCGACGCCGCTTTCGTCAACGGTGCATCCGTCGACGCTCTCGAGGGCTTCCTGGTGATGGTGCTCGAGGCCGAGGGGGGGCAGACGAACATGCGTCTGCCCGTTACCGGCGTCTTGCGCGCGCTCGGCGCCGCTGTCGCTTCGCCGTTGATCGAGTCCGCGCTCTCGAAGATCGACGACGAGGAGTCGCCCGCCGAGGCCGCCACGGCGATTGAGCTCGCGCTGCGGGCTGTGGTGGCGTTCGACGGCTCGAGCGCAGCCTTCTGCCGCTGGGCTAGCCGGCGCTTTGCTGTACGGCCGCAGGCCGGGCTCGACGGCTGCACGTACGCCGTTCCGCTTAGCGACCGGCTTTGTGCGTTGGCGACAGGGGTCAGCCAGGGCCGCGGCGCTTCTCACGCCTTCTGGCGTTGGCGGCTGGACAAGGAGTGCAACGTGAGTCCGCGCCACAACATTGAGAAGCACACCACTTCGCTTCGGGTTGACGCCATGCTGGTGTTGGCGGGGCTGCGCGCCATCGAGGACGAGGAGGAGGAGGCGGCGCTCGTCGCCACCATTCTGGAGGAGGCCGTCGCGCATTGCGAGTGGGTGCTGCCGTCCGTGTTGGCGACGACGGCGGGGCCGCAAACCGTCACGACCGCGTTCAAAGACTTGCTTTTGCGCTGGGCCAAGGGCAAGCCCATCCTTCTCGCCCCCCCCGGGGGCGCGTGAGTGGTCTGGTCGGTGGGACCTTGTCGCGTGAGTTTTTATGCTCGGGCGCGAGACTCTTGTGCTCGTCGTTGATGAAAGTGCCCCGTTTCTTATATCGGCGTCGTGGGCCACTCGTTTTACGAGAGAAGGGTTCACACCGTGATTCACCAGACTGCAGAGACACAGGGAGATGTGGCGAGATATGCATGTGGCGAGGTGTGGCGAGATGTGGCGAGATGTGGCGAGATGTGGGGAGGAGATGTGGCGAGATATGGGAAGAACGGTCAACGGAAGATGTGGCATGTGGGCCAGAAAGCAGAATGTGGGGAGATGTGGGGAGATGTGGGGAGATCAACCGAGGGTGCAGCCGAGGTGCGGCCGAGGTGCAGCCGAGGTGCGTGCGGCCGAGCGGTGCGGCCCCGAGGTGCGGCCGAGGTGCGGCTGAGAGCACTTGGAGCACTTGGAGTGCAGTCATCAACCTCACATCCAGGGCCGCGGGGGAGCTAAGAAGCGCACCCAGCGGGCCGGATGATCGGCATCGGGTTGCGGGCTAGAGAGCCCTAGCCCTGGGGGGTGCGCGTTCGCAGGGAAGGGCCGTAAAGTAATCACGGGTCTCCGAGGGGCTCCGTGTACCGGGTTTCCCCTTTAACTGCAGAACGCCCCCTCTACTCGGAGCTAGTGGACACGGACACTACGACACCACCCGTCACGTACACACACGACTGCCTACCGTGCACTTTGCCCGGCTGCGCGGCGGCTCCCCGGCGCGGGGGCCTCGTCCCCCACCCATCAGGGTGAATCTTCGGTCTGGTCCGGTCTCTTGTTCGCTTTTCGGGCGTCGCCCCACTGCCTCTGCAGTCGTTTTTGATGTCTCTTCTTCGGAGGCGGCCCCTCCGCCCCACCTCCATCGGCTAGCCCCATTGGCCCCGAGGGAGTCGACAGCCCGGGTGGGGCGGTGGGGCCTCCCCGGGCGGGGGCGGCGGCAATGGATCGCCACGCCACACCTCCCCGGGAGGTGGGGCCAGCTCTCTTCGGTCGAGGAGTCGCGCCCGCCCCCGCGGTCTCCCTATCGCTGTCCGTTTTTCTCTTTTTCAGCACGCCCGCCCAAGCTCACATTTGTGTGCTGTGCTCCCGCGAGCAGCACAAGCATATGACGAGCATGGACGGCTTCGCGCTGCAGCTCAACGACGCTCAAACCGTGCTCTCCCGCTTCGGGAAGCGGTACGTTGTCCTCGGAAACGAAAAATTCGCGCAGCAGCTCGTGGCCGACGACGAGACGCTGCAGGAAAGCTTCGAGCACAACGAGCTGGCGATCATGTGGCTCGACTGGCCCGGTCGCGGCCTCGTCGTTCATGTGCCGCTCGGACGGCGAGCGGCGCCGATCGTCCACATCCACTCCAACGACATCAACGAGTACGTTTACCTCTCCTACCCGGGCCGCGACGACATTGAGCCTGAGCCGCTCGCCTCTGGCGAATTCGAGCAGCTGCAGCTCGGCGATCTCGTCGTGCTCAGCGGCGGTGGCACGATTGACGTCATGGTCGGTGCGCAGTCTCGCTTCGAGGCGGCGACGCCGCACATTGCGTCCGCCGGCGAGCAGGTGCAGCCAGAAGAGATGGACGAGCCGAGCTTCGGCGTGGCCCCGCCAGAGACAGAGCACCCAAGCAGTGATGAGGAAGGAGAGCCCATCGGCGGCGGCGGCGGCGGCGGCTCTGGAGGCGGCGGCGGCTCTGGCGGCGGCGAAGACGATACGGCGGCGCCAGTTGCAAAGAAGGCCAAGGCCAAGTCCGACACGCTGCGGCGGCAGCCGATGCAGCTGCTGCGGGGGCATCAGCCGCCGGCCTCGGTCGAGACTCGCGAGGAGCTGCCGCGGGTGGCACAACGGCATCGCCCATCCGCGCTCGGCGTCGCTTTTCCGCTCAGCGACCTCGTGCGGCTGCCGCCGTCCGCCGGCTTTGAGCCACTCGTGGAAGTCTTCACTATGAGGTTCGATCCCGGCGTCGCTGGTCGCGCCCTTCAGATGCACCGCACGCCGGCGCGGGCAGAGGTGCTTGTCCTCAAAAATGGCGCGCAGTTCCGCCTGTCACCGGTCGGTCACTCGCATCACTCACCTTGGACGGCGAGCTTTGAGCGGGCGCTCGGCCAAGGTGGCTACCGGCTGGCGGAACAGCACCCGCTCAAGGCGATCCGGCAGCACGGCCGGCATGTTCTCGTGTACGATGAATTCAGCACACAGCACGAGGTGGAAAGGCGGCTGCGCGAGCTCCGCCATCGGCGAGAGGCGGCCAGCAGCAGCAGCTCAGATGTCGCGAGTGAGAGCGCCACAAGCGAGGTGCGCCTCGAGCTCGCGGTGGCGACGGAGCTAAAGTTCGCCGACCCGAGGGCTGAGCATGGAGGCGTCCCCGACAAGTGCAGGTTGGGGGGTGTTGAGCCGCACACAGCCGCGAGGAAGGATCGATTCGTACTCGAGGCGGGAACAGTGGGCAGGCTCTTCTTCGACGAGAAGGGCGCCTGTGCCAAGGCGGGCAGGTACCAGTTGGAGCTCCAGCCAGCGGCTGCAGCCTTCGGCGGGCGAAAGGTCATCGGTGTAAATGCCGACAAGCTGACACCCGCTTCGCAGAGGCTGCTGCCTGACAAGCTCAACCAGCGGCGCGGCGCCACAAGAGAGCAGCAGGCTGCGTGGTACAATGCCGGTGGCTCAGCGGATCCTGCAGCGGCGGACGCAGCGACGGCAGCGGCGCGGCAGCAGCTGGAGGTGCGGAAAAGCGCCCCCACGTTCGCAGTCGTCGTGGCCTTCGAGAACGCCGCGGCGGCCGAGACGTGGGGGCAGCGCATGCAAATGCAGGCCCTGATGGCGCTGCCACCACTCAACCCGGAGACCCAACGCCAACATGCCTCTCGCGGCTAGTCTCGCGGAGGAGGCGAGCCGCGCAGGTCGGCCAGCTGCTCGGCGCGGCAGCCTACACGCCGCGCATCGTCTTCCTCGCCGGCCTGATGCTGCGCTCCGTCCAGCAGGCCACCGAGCTCCGGCGCGTCTTTGAGCCGTCTCTCGGCTACGCGGCTGGCGCTTTGCTCGCCGCTCGCTTCGCGCGGAGAGAGTGGCTCTCGTGCATGCTCCTGGGCTGGGGAGCCGGCGGCGGCTATTGGGCGGCGTTCCGAGTCGCCCCGCCAGGCGCAGGCCCAGCAGCAACTCCCTGAAGCCGCGTGCATGTCCGCAAACAGAGTGCGACCGGGAGTTCTCGCGGCATCGGGCCAACACCCCGCGGCAGCGGTAGCCAGTACGCGTTCAAGTCTCAATAAACTAAAAAACTTAAAGCGGGGTAATCTCGGTAAAGCGCGCGCGCGTCAGGCGGAGGCGCGCGTCGGGGAGCGCGAGACACTGTGCTGCAGTCACTGCTCACTGGTCACTCTGGGGACACTGCCCCCTCTCGCGACGGCTCTCGTGGCAGCCCCTCGCAGCTCGCTTGGCAATCACAGTGTACATTTTTTTTCACGTTACATGGCCAAGCTTGTGCGCGACGACAGCCATGAAGGCGTGCACACAGGCCGAGTCGGCGGGAGGCGCGCCGAAGGATAAGCCCTCCTCGAGCATCTCCTCTGCCGCCGCCGCCGCGTGAGCCTCCGAAAGGCTGCGCACGACCCACGCAAGGGCCGGCGGCACCTCCTCGAGGAGAGGCGTCGGGACGAATGCCGCGGGCGCGAGCGGGGAGAGGACGTGCACCTCGCTGGGCGGGCCGGCGTCGCTGCCGTCGCCGTCAAGAAGCGTCCAGCCGAGCAGCGGGTCGAACTTGTGTGCCGCCGCAGCTGCTGACGCATTCGCACACGTGCGCACCGCGAGCGGCTTGAGCCACGTCGTGCCGCGCCTCGAACCGCTGGTCACGTTTGAGACGATCTCCGCAACGAGCTGATGAAAGGAGCCGTTCGCGGCGAGCATCACCATCGCGAGCGCACGCAGGGGAGCGTCCGCCTCGCCCACGGCCTGGAAGAGCGGGACCGAGGATGGGCGAAACAGTGACGCGGCCGCGCTGGCCTCGGCGGCGATGTCGCGATTCGCGCCGGGCAAGCAAAAGCGAGGGTCCACATCGTCGGCGGCAGCGCATCTGAGGCGCGCGCGGGGCGTCGAGACTGCCTGACCGACGCCGACGCTCGGCGGCGGCGGGACGAGCAGCGTCGGGGCAAACAGCAGCGCGATCGTGCGCATGCAGCCAGATGTGTGGGCTATACGCCGCGGTTGAGCGGTGGACGTTGAGACAGGGTGCGGGCTATACGCCGGCGGTGGACGTTGAGACGGGCCCGCGCAGATGGACTTGTCGAGAAAAAGAAATTGGCTCCGGACCAAAAGAAAACAAAGGCGAAAGCGCCTTTGAATGTGTGGGCGGCAGCTGTCTGTTTACAGGCGCTGGCCGCCCGCGCGCGCGCCGGACCGGCTCCGGCACGTCCGGCGCTGGGCGGCGCGCGTCCACACTGCGCGTCGCGCAAAAGGCGAGCGCTCGCCGCCGCTACGGCGGCGGCGGCGGCCGACGGCCGACGGCCGACGGCCGACGGCCGACGGCCGACGGCCGACGGCCGACGGCAGACGGCAGACGGCAGACGGCAGACGGCCTAGGGCTCGGCTGGGCGCGCACGCGCACGCGCGCGCGTCGCGCGCCACGCGTCGCTCCGCGAGGGCGCGCGCCAACCGCGATTCGAACCGGGGCCAAAAGGTGCCTGGAGCGACCGCGGTCCGGTCGCGCCACCGCGGCTGCGGGGCTGATAGAGCAGGCCGGCTGCGGCTCCTGATGTACCTCCGCTTTTGGGTGGCGGTCGCGCGCTGCCGACGGCGCTCGCCGGCGCTACGGCGCTCGCGGCGCGCTCGTGGCGTTCAGGGCGGCTCGCACACGCACACGCACACGCACACACACACACACACACACACACACACACACACACACACACACACACACACACACACACATGCACAGACACACAGCCCCTTCCCCTCCCCCCTCAAGGGCGAGGACACGCACAGGCCGCACCTCTAGTGAGGCCCGCATAGTATGTGGGAGACTCGTGCCGCCGCCCCTGCCACCCCTGTGTCAGTGTGCCTGTGGTAGGAGAGACTGCCAGCGACAAGCTGGAGGCAGGTCGCTAGACTGAGATGAGACCGCCAGTGGATGTGGGAGTCCACCGCGCACCGCGCTGCGAGCCTGTCGTGTCCCTTGTCAGGAGCAGGAGAGCCCCACCTGTCCCCCTGATCGTTCTTCCAAAATCCTGCTCGTGCAGGTGGGGACCCTGTCCTCGTCCCATCCCTCGTTTGGCGTGTCTGTTTTCTTTCTTTCTTTTTAGGCGGCGGCGGCCGACGGCCGACGGCCGACGGCCGACGGCCGACGGCATACGGCATACGGCATACGGCATACGGCATACGGCATACGGCATACGGCATACGGCATACGGCATACGGCATACGGCATACGGCATACGGCATACGGCATACGGCATACGGCATACGGCATACGGCATACGGCATACGGCATACGGCATTACGGCATACGGCATACGGCATACGGCATACGGCATACGGCATACGGCATACGGCATACGGCATACGGCATACGGCATACGGCATACGGCATACGGCATACGGCATACGGCATACGGCCGCGTGCATCGCCGGTAGGGGTACCGGGGAGCCGCTCTACGGCGCGGCGGCCCCCGGTGGCGGCGGCACCAATACGAGCTCGCCGAGCTCACCTAGCTCGGTGCCGCGCGCCGCGCGCACCCCGCAACCCTCGGGCTTCAATGCCATCCATCGGAAAACCCGCCCCGTGACACCAAGGGCAACCACCGCCGCGCCGAACTCACCGTTTCATCTCTCGAGACCATTGTCAAAGAGCGCGATGAGGCCCTCAAATTCGTCACGCCTCCCTCCGACAAAACAGGTGGCCCCTCCGTTACGCCCTCCACCGACCCCGGCGAGCTCAAACTCGCCTACGCCGCTGCTGCTGCAGCTGCCGCCTCCGAGACCGACCCGAACAAAGCCGCCGCAGCTTACACCGCTTGCCTCGGCGCCTTCGGCTACATCTGATTGCGCGTCTTTATTCTTTGTCCCCCGCGCCCGCACTCGGGCCAGGAGGGGCTGTTCCCGGGCATTATAGTCTCTGCTATATTATAATACCGCCATCTCGGCTCCGCCCGGAGATTATTAGGCGATTATATCCATAAAGGCTCGATCGGTCACACCGCCATCGCCGCCGACGTCTCACTGTGAGATGATGGAGAGGGGGGACGACACTGCTTTGCCTTTGGGCAGCGTGCACCTCGATCCTGTACCGTGTTTGTTATGCCCCCCCCCAATGAACACACCAGTGAGGAAGGGCGAGACGATCGAGGGGTCCCGTACCATGCGGAATCGACCCTATCAAGTGCTCAAGTGCTCAAGTGCTCCATAAGGGATTACATTCCTTTTGGTTTTTGGAGATTCGTGTTCCGTACCTCTACGCTCTAGACGTCCAGTGCGGGTAATGCCCGAAAATACCCGGAAACCCCCAGGTATTTTCGGGGTTTGCCCGGGTTTTTTTGCATTTCTGCTTGCTGACCGCTGAACAACAGTAACAACAGTAACAAACAGTAACAGCAAAGGCTGGGGTGAGAACACTTGAACAACGTTAAGGATTTCAGCCAACACTAGCGCAACTGCTACGCCCAAAGTTAATGTTAAACAGCTCTATACCGTACCGTATCTTGTGGACTCATTCGTATAACTCTCCCAACAGCGCGATCTTATGGACTCATGCGGTCGCTAGCTTTCCTCGCCTACCTCCCGTGGCTCGCTCAAGCGACCCATGGCGACAACTCGAGCGGGGCAGGGTCCGGGCAGAGAACAGTCAACAGAAGCAGCGCGCGCGTCCGGAGTTTTATAACCGCCGCGCGAACTGCCGGCCTTAGCCGGGGTGCCTGTGGACCCCCGCAGTCTGCAGATCCAAAATATTTTTCAAATACAAGCGCAAAATTCACGCAGCGACGACACAAGCTCACTTACACACGCGCGTTGAGGCGGAAATTCGCTTGAAGAGTTGAACGACATGGGGCGCTGAGAGAAGGCGGTTCGGACCGACGCAATGGCACACATAGACGCGCCCACGAGCACGCGCACCAGGCGCGCGCACCAGCACGCGCCTCACAGTTCATCCCCTGAGCTGATCGCCGCCGAGGAGCCGTGCCGGGACTGGCTGCTCCCGCTCGACGTGAAGCGCTCCAGCTCGGTTGCGGCCGCGGCGTTCTGCGTCAGCGGCATGAAGCCGCGCAACCTGCCTGCGTGCGGCAGCCAGAGGTCCGCCGCGGCCATGAGGAAGAGCTGCAGGCAGATGAGCAGCGCCATCAGCGTGCCCGCCCACGGAAGGCCCATGTGCGACGCCAGCGCGGTGCCCGCGAGCGGGCCCACCATCTGCCCGAGCGAGAAGGCCTACTCCGCGCACCCTCGACACCTCGAGACAGGGCTGCTCGGTGCGCTCGCCTCCTCTCGCCGAGGCGTGGGCTGCCGAGGCCATGAGGGACGAGAGCGCGTTGATGCACGACGAGGCGGCGGTGCCGCAGGAGTGCATCATGTCGTCCATCACGGGCGTCATGCTCATGCTCTCGCCTGGGCGCGGCGGCGGCGGGGTGGGAGAGGCGGCCCGGCGGCGGGCGGCTCGTCTGTGCGCGCAGCCCGTCTCGCCTAACCCGAAGAGCACCAGCCCGCCGACAACCTGAAGCCACGACGCGCTGCCGCCGTGCAGCCAGCCGAGCAGGGGCGACGGCCCGATCAGCAGGAAACCTATCGCCTGGGCGAGCAGCCCGGCGTAGATCATCGGGCGCGGCCCGATGCGGCTGCGGTCGGAGAGGAGCCCGATCGCGGGGCAGGAGATGGTGTAGCAGACGGAGGAGACGGAGAAGAGGAGGCCGATCGAGTCGGGCGACGTGGCGATGCCGAGCGCCTAGGGTTAGGGTTGGGGTTGGGGTCAGGGTTGGGGTTGGGGTCAGGGGTAGGTCGGGCGACGTGGCGATGCCGAGCGCCTTTGCGTGGTCGCCGAGCGTCGGCTCGAGAAAGGCGTAGTCCGAGTTTGCGAGCACGGACGCCACGGCGATGAGCAGGATCTGCGGGTTGCGCAGCAAGTCGCCGAGCGGCACGTCGCGCTCGCCATCCTCGTGCTTCTCGAGCGCCTGCCGGGACGCGACGCGGACGTGTCGCGTGGGCGTGTCGCGGACGTGTCGCGTGGGCGTATCGCGTGGACGTGTCGCGCGGGCGTGTCGCGTGGGCGTGTCGCGCGTGGGCGTGCCGCCGCCCCCCCCTCGCTGCTCGCGCGCCTCCTGCCGGCAGAGCTCGGGCGGCACCCGCTGGTGGATGAGCGCAGCGGCGGGCAGGAGGAGGACGCCGAGGAGGAGGAAGGGCGTGCGGAAGCCGCCGATCGAAAAGAGCCAGCCCCCGAGCGGCGGCCCGACCATGTACCCGAGCCCGGTCGACATCTCCGTGATGCCGAGCAGGAAGGAGACCCGCTCCGGGTCGACGTCGGCGATCAGCGCGTACGCCGCCGTCTCCTGTGGGCGAGGCGAGGCGACGGGTCACGCGAGGTCCGTAGGGGCGGCGAGGTAGCGCCGCACTCCCGCGCTCTCCTCGAGCGCGGAGCCGAAGCCCTGCACGAGGCGCATGAGCAGGCACCAGCCGGTGAAGGGCCAGCCGGCCGGCAGCGCGTCGGCGACCGCGAAGCTGATTGTCGAGAGCGAGACGATGACGACGCCCGCGATGTAGACGTACGACTTGCCGTGCCGCGACATGAGGCGCGCCGCCAGCGGCGAGGCGACGAAGATGACGCAGGCGAAGGAGGCGAAGATGAGGCCGACCATCTCGTCCGTCGCCCCCTTCGCCTTCGCCTCCTGCGGGAAGAAGGCGGCGAGGATCGAGAAGACCGAGTGGCAGCCGAGGTTGGTCAGGTTGATGGTGAGCAGCAGCAGCATCTTGTTGGAGCGGAGCAGCGCGTGGGTGTTCCCTTCGGACGAGTAGATCCACGAGATGCGGAGCGAGCGGCGGGAGGCGCAGTGCATCAGCGCGAAGCCGCCCAGCACCGCGAAGGCGGCGGTGAGCAGCAGGTCGCGCAGCAGGCCCGGCCGGTTGGTCAGGGCAATCGAGCCCTCCGAGCCAAGCTGCTGCCCCGCCGGCCGATCCCACGCCACCGGAGCGACGGCGAGCGCGAGGCCCGCCGGGGTGCGCGCGAAGCGGCCGGTGCGCACCCGCCAGCGCGCCTCGCGGTGGTGGTGGTGCGGCGCCGCTGTCGCGTTTGCGCGCTCGTGCGGCCGCCGCGGCGTGGCCTGCAGCGATCGCGACCCGTTGCGCTCGGCAGAGCGACGGCCACGGCGGCGGGACCCGTCGTTGAGCGCCAGCAGCCGGCCGTGAGCGTCGTCCGAGGAGAGGTTGCACGGCAGCGGCTCCGTCGCGTTGTTGCTGCCGTGGCCGACAAAGGCGACGCTGCAGAGAAGCAGCGCGGCGGGAAGCATGCGGGCGGACCGCTTGCGGGCTCTATGGGCAGGCGAACGTGAGCAGCGCGCGACAAGTGGGCCGGCCCGGCAGTACAACAAAAAGAATTTTGCAAGGATTTTTTGAGAAAAAAGAATTTCAGCACTCAAGGTTCTTTCCGTTACGGAAAACCATGCACAAAAACGCGAGGTGGATGCTAGCATGAGCCCGATGCGTCGCAGTGCTCTTGCGTTACGGCGGTAGTGATCTAATCACCCGAATGCCACGTTCGGATCGCTCCTCATCGCAAACCCCGTCAGCAGTCCTCCTCCGGGAATGTACGTAAGAGCTACATACACTGAGAGAGAGAGGCGCTGATTGGTAGGGCCCCCAAGGGCCTAGAAATCGCGCCTCCCTCTCCCTTGTCTCCCAGTAAGCTAAAAAATTCGGGTCACTCCTCATCGCAAACCCTGTCAGCAGTCCTCCTCCGGGAATGTACGTAAGAGCCACATACATTGAGATGGCCACTACCATGATGGGATCTTCACCAAACGCAACAAGTTCAACCTGCTTCTCCACGAGACATTCGGCGGCGGCTTCTCGCCGCCAGCAGTTGCAAAGATCAACCGCCTTGCGCGCAAGGCTCAACGCTCGGGCGTTGACCGCACCGCGTACCCTCCCCACTCCCGCCTCTCATTTGTGTCACACCACGCGGAACGCATCTCCATCGCTTCGGTGAAGGGGGTGAACCGTGCCATCCTCGATCGCCGTGCAAAGCTCGCTTCCGAGCTCTCACGCCGCGCGTAGGGCCCTTAGGGGCCTAGAGAACACAACCCCCCTCTCTCTTTTCTCCCAGTAAGCTAAAAGTACGTACATTGAAAAAACGTACGTACACTGAAAAGCTACCTCTTTGGAAAACCATGCACAAAAAGCTACCTCTTTGCGCCGCTCGCTCGCGGCGGCGGGAGACATGGCCGCCGACGCGGCTTGCACTCGCTCGGCGGGCCTCCGTCTCACAGCCGCCCGGGCGTGCCACGGTCGGCCTGGCGCTGCGCTGCTCGCACGCTGCACTGCACAAAGCTGCGACAACAAGGGGAGGCTCCTGAGCTTGAGCGCTGAGCAGTGCGCAGCTGCGGGCGCTCGTGGGCGGCTGTGCAGTGGTGAGAGTGCCTGTTTGGAGGCGAGCTGGTGCTGCGCCAGGGTGCGAAGCATGCCCTCTTGCTCTGTGCTGAGGCATGCTGGCTGGCGCCCAACACAATGCCCTGGATGCATTGCTCCACGCCGTGCTGGCTGGTGCAGTGCTGGGACCACGACGGCTCGGGGTACATCTCCTCGGAGGAGTTTGTGGCGCCCGGGACGGGCCTGCTCGACTATGCTCGCAAGTACTTGCTGCGAGAGACGCCCGCCCCCGCCGTCGCGGTCGCGATGATCTACTAGTGTCGCGCGCTAGGATCGCGGAGGACCGTACCCCCGTTGATCTCGTGCTAGATCTCGTGTCTTGGAGAAGCTCGATGGCACATTCACCTACCTACCTATCTATCTATCTGGCACATGTTGCAGAGGCCTCGACAGAGGCCGCTCTAGAGGAGGCCGCTGGCCGGAGCGAGCGCAAGGGATGGCGCAGGAGCAAAAGTCCGGGCGGCGGGTCTAGACGACACGCACCGTGAGGACGGGTAGGCGCGGCATCCGTGACGGATGCGGGCTGTTGTCTCGCGCGAGACGTCGCTGGGCGAGCCGCTCGGCTCCCCACGCGCCGCCGAGCAAGGCCAAGGGCCAAGGCCAAGGGTGGCGGGCTCTCGCCGAGCATCGCGAGCGTCGCCGTTCTCCTCTTTGCTGCGCGCCGACGAGAGGGTCCTTTCCAGCCTGTATCAATCTGACCCGTCTCCGATGGTATTTTGCCAACATTCCCTAGGTAGGTAGGTAGGTAGAAAGGTGAAGAACAGCCAGGCTCGGACTGGACACCAAGGCGGTATGGGTGGACGCAAGACAGATGATGACGACACGCACGGGCGACACACATTCCTACAGGGGTCGTAAAAGAAAAACACCGGCAAAATCGCGCCCGAGGTCCACGACCACCCACGAGCGCCCTCGTCTCCTCGCCCTGTGCTCATGTCTCGCCCCGAGCGGACGGCCGCGGCGCAGGCCTTCTACGACCCTGCCGAGGCGGCAAAGTACAGCGCGAGCGCGCGGATGGGAAGGACGCAGCGGCACCTCGCCGAGCGCGCGCTGCACCTCCTCGACATCCGCCAGCCGGGCGCGCTGCTGCTCGACCTCGGCTGCGGCACCGGCTACTCTGGCGCGCCGCTCGAGCGCGCCGGGCACGCGTGGGTCGGGCTCGACCTCTCCGAGTCCATGCTGCGCGCCGCGCGGGCGCCCGGCAAGAGGCGCGACGTGCTCTGCGCGGACCTAGGAGCTCCGCTCTGGCTGAGGCGGCGCGTGTTCGACGGCGCCGTCTCCATCTCCGCGGTGCAGTGGCTGTGCCACGCGACGGCGAACGGGCACGACCCGGCGAAGCGCGTGCGCACCTTCTTCCGCGGGCTCAAGGCGGTCCTCGTCCCGGGCGCGCGCGCGGTGCTGCAGCTCTACCCCGAGCAGCCGGAGCACATGGGTGAGCGGGAGGGGCGAGCGAGGGGCGAGCGAGGGGCGAGCGAGAGGGGAGCGCATCGCGGCCCTCCCGGGGCAGCCCGAGAGACGGCGGCCCGGGCCTGAGCCTCCGCCCCTGCCCCTCCGCCGCCGCGCAGGGATGCTTCGAGACGCGGCCGTCGCCGCCGGCTTCAGCGGCGCGGTGCTGTCTCGCGAGGTGCCACACTGGAGGCACGGTCGGACCTTGCTCGCCTCTCGGCCTAGGCACGCTCGTCGTCGACTACCCGCGCTCCGAGCGGTCAAAGAAGCTCTTCCTTGTGCTGACGTCGCCGAACCAGGCGGCGGCGGCGGCGGGCGGGAGGAGGCGCGCAGTGGAGTCGGTCGGCGGCGGAGGCGGCGCGAAGGGGGGCGGGGGAGCGGGCAAGCGCCGGAAAGGGGCGGCTGCACCCGGGGGCGGAGGCGGCGCAAAGCGGCAGCGAGCGGCGGCGGACGGCGGTGGCGGCGCGAAGCGGAAAGGAGGGAGGTGAGAGTGGCGAGCGAGTCGGAGAAAAATCGCAAATCCGAATGCTTCTGGGTGCTGCGTGCTCGATTGCTTGTTTCTTCTTCTCGATCTCTTTCGGGCGCGGTTTTTTATTATTATTCTCTTAGACTTTGCCATTGATTATACCTCTTCTTCGCCCCGTACGCTGGGGGCCCCAGCCCACCTCCCACACCTTGGCGCGTCATCGCGGTTGGGCCAGGTACCAATTTTGTCGAACTTATTTCAAAATCTGCAGGCGCGGAGCGCCTGCGAAAATTTTGAATAAATTTGCTGTGTGGAGTTGGGGGGTGGCGGGTGGGTTAGGTTAGGGTTATTAGGGTTTAGAGGGTTAGGGTTAGGGTTAGGGTTAGGGTTAGGGTTAGGGTCAGGGTCCGGGTTAGTCTTGTTGTGTCTGTATATGCCAGCGTTGCAGGGTTCTGCGCTGGGATCTGGCCCCACAGCGCCGACGACTAAGACTCAGCCCCGCACGCTGACCTAGGGTTAGGGGTTAGGGTTAGGGTTAGGGTTGGGGTTAGGGTTAGGGGTTAGTCTTCTTGTGTTTGTATGCCAGAGTTGCAGAGTTCTGCGCTGGGATCTGGCCCCAGCGACGACGAGTAAGACTCAGCACCGCACGCTGACCCCACCAAATGCCGCCTCAGGGCGCCAGGCCGCCAGCCACCTCTTACACACGCGGCCGGCGCCCTCTCGCGGCAAAAGGGTCGAGCGAGCGGGCAGAGTCGCGATGTCTGCGCACCCGCGTGCCGATGGGCGGCACACGCAACCGAGAGAGGCCCTGTCGCGCCGCCAGTAGCGTTCTCCGCACTCCCCACGCCACCAATTGCCGCCTCAGGGCGCCAGCCACCTCTTACACGCCGCGGCCGGCGCCCTCTCGCGGCAAAAGGGTCGAGCGAGCGGGAGAGTCGCGATGTCTGCGCACTCGCGTGCCGATGGGCGGCACACGCAACCGAGAGAGGCCCTGTCGCGCCGCCAGTAGCGTTCTCTCCGCACTCCCCACGCCACCAATTGCCGCCTCAGGGCGCCAGCCACCTCTTACACGCCGCGGCCGGCGCCCTCTCTGAGGTGCACGTGTTCACGGGCAAGACGACTCGCGCAGATCAAATGACCGGCAGCGACGTGTATAGGTGTACTGGTAGTGGGACATGCCTGCGCCAATACAGGGGCCCAGGCCGACGTCATTCTCGATGATTACTGCGGCGAATTGCCTGTCGATCTGCTCCTCACCCTGCTGGACAGGTATGCATATCTCCAATGCCGACGAGTCGTGATCACCTCAAACGCTCCTCCCGAGAGGTGGTATTCAGATCTCGACGACAACACAAAAAGAGCTCTCGTCTGCGCCGCTTAGGCCAACTAGCCAGTGACCAATCGCTCGGGTACACCCACATCACAACCACGCACACGTGATGCCTCTCATTACGGGTCTGTACCAACCGCGGTCCAGTTGAGTCGGTTGCGTCGCTCAGACGCGTTCACGTGAGCCGTGACTGGTGTGTGGAGGCTGGAGCGCACGCGGCCGAAATAGACCGTGTAAGTAAGTGATCAGTAACCAGCCTCCGGCGGGGCCCCCCAGCTGCACGCGCGGGCGGACGGATTCGGACGGGGCGGAGCAGCGACCGCCTGGGCGGCCGCTGCTCTGTCTGCCCTAGGTCCTGCTGGGGGCGCGAGGCCATGGAGAGAGCGCGTAGATGCCTCGTGCGTCTCCAAAAGAAGAATTCTATTGCCTGCTCGACGCCAGGCCTTCTCTTGCCTCTCTCCGCGGCCTTGTTGCGGCCTTCTCCCGCCTTCTTGCGGCCTTCTCCCGCCTCTCTCCGCGCTCCTCTCTCTCCGCTCTCCGCGCTCCGCCGGTCAGCCATTCCCCGCCTACTGCTCCTCGCGCTCGTGCCAGCCATGGCCTCCAAGCAGGAGGCACTGGTCGCGTCGTACAAGGCCGCAGTCGCAGCGCACCAGGCTTCGGAGCTTGACACCGCACTCGAGCACTACCGCGCTTGCGTGGCGATCAAGTCCATCCCGGCAGTGCACAACAACATGGCTGCAATCCTGCTGAGCCAGGGCGACAAGGCCGCGGCCGAGGAGAACTGGCGGCTCGCGGTCGAGGGCAAGCCGGATTATGCCGAGGCGCACTTCAACCTCGCAGTCGTGCTGTCGGAGAGCGGCGACGATGCCAAGCTGGCCGAGGCGCGGCGGCACTGCGAGCTGGCGATGGAGCACAAGGAGGGGTACGTCCAGGCCCACCACCTGATGGGCAACATCCGCATGTCGCAGGGCGCGCAAGAGGAGGCGACGGGATGGTACGCAAAGGCGGAGGCGCTCGGTGGCTCGGCGGCGGCGCCGGCGCCGGCGAGCTTTCGGTGGGAGGGCGTCGAGGTGGGGCACGTGCGCACGCTGCGGCTGCCCGACGGCACGTCGTGGAGTATGCAGACGCTCTCCCTCCGCCCGCTCTCCTTTTTGGTGCGCGACTTTCTGAGCGAAGACGAGTGCGAGCGGCTGATTGGCCTCGCAAGGCCGCGGCTGCAGCAGTCGTTGACGATGGGCAACGCGTCGGCGAGCGAGCGCACCTCCGAGAGCGTCTTCCTCCCGGCGGCGGAGGACGGCCTGCTGCGCGAGCTGCAGGAGCGGCTCTCCGCGCTGACGCGGCTTCCGCTGCAGCAGGTGGCCGGCGGGGAGGACATCCAGCTGGTCCACTACCCGCAGGGGGCGGCGTTCGGGATGCACCACGACTCGTCCGCCTTCCTCCCGCGCCTGCTCACCGCCTTTTACTACCTCAACGAGGTCGAGGGCGGCGGCGAGACCGCCTTCCCCGCCGCCGACGGCGCGATGAGCCCAGACGAGGCGCTGGCCCTGGCCGAGCCGGCGGCGGCGGGCGGCGGCTTGGTCGTGAAGCCGGCCCGCGGCGCGGCGCTGCTGTGGTACAACCACGGCGAGGACGGCAGCAGGGACGCGTGCGCGGTGCACGCTGGCTGCCGCGTGACGGCCGGCGAGAAATGGGGAGCGAACCATTGGGTGCGCGTTCGAGGTGCCACGCCGGGAGAGGAACCGTCTTCGTAGCGGCTTAAAAATCAATTTGACTTTTTGACTTTTGCGAGACACAACCCACACGTGACCCAGAGAGACATATAAAGCCGTATGCGGTATGGGAGAAAGAATGGCGCCCGCGCGGGGAATGCGAATGGGCCTTCACTGGGTCCTCGAAGGAAACTCGAAGCACGAAGGATAGACGATAGAGGTGTTTGACGCGTTTCAAAACGGATCACTCACCCCTCTCAACCCGCACTCTCCCCTCGCCCCCCTCGCCGCCTCGGGCGTGGACCACGTGCTCGCTAGCAGCCGGGGCGGCACAGCGAGCTCCACCCGCACCTCACCCTCAACGCCGCCCCCTCCCACCCCGACCCCGATGCAGCTGATCTGAGGCCGCGCACGGCTCTTCCTGAGAGCGTTGCAGTAACGCGGCAGCTCGCCGCGCTCGCGCCTCGCGTACCGATCCCCCACGACCGGGCATCCCGCGTGCGCGCGCAGGAAGAAGCAGAGGTCGCCGCAGAGCCGGCCACGCCTGCCGCCGCTGACCAGCCGCAGCGTCGTGAGCTGCACGGGGCTCGTCTCCGCCGTGGCAGAGACGACCATGACGTGGACGGGGCACTCCGCGGTGACATCCGCCGAGCTGCCGCTCGCCGTGCCGCCCTCCTCCTCCTCCTCCTCCTCCTCCTCCTCCTCCTCCTCCTCCTCGCTCGCCCCCTCCTCCCCAGACGCCACAACCTCCCCCGCCGCTGCGACGGCGCCCGCCGCCCGCCGCCCGCCGCGCCGCCAGGTCGGCCGACTCCCCGGCAAGAGCACGGTCGCACCCTCCTCGCCTCCCCACGCCTCGGGGACACGCCCGTGCACGAGGGCGACAAAGGTGTGTCGCACGCCGCCGCCGAGCGCGGCTGCGTCGAGCGCCGCGAGCATTCGCGACGAGCGCGCGACGAGCGCGACGCCCGTGCAGCCGCCCTCGAGTCGCGACAGGGGGGTCGGTGCCGACAGCGGCGCGGCGTCGGCGGGGACAGCGGGCGGCGCACGCGGCGGCAGGAGCGTGCGCAGGGCGTCTTGGAGCGTGCCCGGGTACTCGCCGAGCGACTTGCAGCCGGCGGGCTTCCAGACGACCGCGAGCTCCGCCTCGACCGAGTGCAGGACGATGGGCGCCCGCGCGGAGCGGCCGGCGGCGCGCGTGCGGCCGGCGGCGCCCGCGTCGTGCAGCAGCTCGAGCACGTCGCCTGTGGACACGTCGTGGACGTGTGATGGACATGTCGCGGACGTGTCGTACGGCCGCTGAAGCACGTCGCCGGTCCGCAGGCAGCGCGTCTCCTCGACTGCGGCGCCGTTGAGAAGCAGCCGCCCCTCGCGGAAGGCGGTGAGTGCAACCTCAAGCGGCGAGGGGGCCGCCGGGTCAGGGGCGAGAGGCGGGTGGGGGATGGGGCGAGGGGCGAGAGGCAGGTGGGGGATGGGGCGAGGGGCGAGAGGCGGGTGGGGGATGGGGCGAGGGGCGAGAGGCGGGTGGGGGATGGGGCGAGGGGCGAGAGGCGGGTGGGGGATGGGGCGAGGGGCGAGAGGCGGGTGGGGGATGGGGCGAGGGGCGAGAGGCGGGTGGGGGATGGGGCGCGGGGCGAGGCGGGTGGCATGGGGCGAGGGGCGAGAGGCGGGTGGGGGATGGGGCGAAGGGCCGGGCGGAGTGAGCGGTGGGGCGAGGGGCGGCCGCAACCTTCTTGCTCGGCAGCTCGCGTGCAAACGCAGCCTTGCGGCTCCACGCAAAGGCGCGCGCGCCTTCCCCCTCGGCGGGCACCTCGTGGCGCCTCCGCACCAAGCCCGCGGCACCGACGGCGGAGACGCCGCTCGCAGCCATCGCCGCCGCCGCCGCCGAAGCGCGCGCTGATGCGGCGGCGGCCGCCGCAGCAGTTGCGGCGGCGGCCTCGCTCAGCTCTGGCGGAGCGGCGAGGCTGCGCGCCGCCGCCTGCTGCTTGCGGTACGACTCGAGCGCAAACTCGGTGCGGAAGCTCCTCCCACTCGCCGGGTCGCTCCACGCGCGCTCGGCTGGCGTGAGCACCGGCGATGCGAGGGAGCGCACGTGCTCCTCCTCTGCCTCGCCCGCCGCCACCGCCCACCCGCAGACAGGGCAGCGGCCGCGCTCCTCCGCGGGCGGGCGCTGCGCCGCCGCGACGCAAAAGAGGAGCTCGACGCTGTTCTCGACGTGCATGTCCGCGTCGCCCTCGCAGCGGCGATGCTCGTACCCAAACCTGCCGAGCCAGTGGCGCGAGCCGAGAGAGCCCGACCGGAACTTGCGCGGCGCAGCCCAGCCAGGCTCGGGCGCGAGGGCGGTGGGCGGTGGCGTTGTCTCGCCGCTGCCGCCGCACGACGGCGGTGGCCAAAAGCAGCTCGGCGTCGCCGGCGGCGCGCGCTGCACAATGTCGAGGCCGAGGCGAGCGGCGTGCTCGTCCACCGCCCACGTACGAGGCTGGGAGCCGCAGAGGGTCAGGTGGATCGTGCCCGACGCCTCGAGCAGCGCCGCGGCCGAATCAAGGAAGTGCGCAACCAGAACGCTGTGCCTCTGCGCGTGCGCCGCTTCGTCGATCAGGTCGGAGAGGCCGAGGTGAGGGTGGCAAAAAACGACATGGGCGAACCGGCCGAGCGTCAGCGGCAGGCGAGTCGCGTCGATCCCGTGCAGGACGGTGGCTCCGCGCTCCGCAAGCTCGGCAAGGATCTTACCTGTATTGCGGTACGTCGCACAAAGCTCGTCGGCGGCGGGGAGCGTGGTTGCCACCAGGCTGACGTCGGCGCCAAAGGCGCGCTGAAGCGCGAGGCTGTAGGATAGGTCGCCGTCGCCAACGGTGAGTATTCGCATACGGGCGCAGAGAGCGGAGCCAAACGAGGCGGACACCGTACTGCTGCTGCTGCTGCTGCTAGGAGACAGCCCTAGCGGATCCCCTAGCCCCTGGATTCCTGGTGGGCGGCCGCTCGAAAAGAAGAATTCATCTTGGTAAGCTCGCCCTCGGCTTTCGCGACGACTTTCCTGCCAGCTTACACGAGCCGCTTTCCGCCCGGACCGGACGCGCAAACGGTGAGACCCACACACCGCGCCGTGTGTTGTGAAGAAGAAGTGTTGTGTGTTGACTGTTGTGTGAGCATAACGCTATGTTGTGTGAGCTGGGCGCCCGCAGGTACCTATCGCCCTCGCCGCCGCAGCCCTCGCCGCCGCAGCCCTCGCCTCACCGCTCGCAGAAAGGCCGCACGCAGCGCCGCCGCGAACCGCAGCGTCTCGGCGACGGTGAGCGCGGCGCAGGTGCTTTGCCGACAGAAGCGCCCGCCTCCTTGGCGAGGGTGAGGAGCTCCTTCGCCGTCTCGAACTCCGCCATGACGTGCGGCTGCTTGAAGTCGATGCGAGTCATCGTACTCGAGTAGAAGTCTGAAAGGACGACCGCACCTGCGTGTCGTGGCAGCAAGGGCGATAGGTGGCGTCTCTCCCCGAGGTAACAAAGGACTTCGAAAAAAGAAATCAAAACTGGGCCGCCGCCATCCGCCCACCGCCATCCCACCCATTCGAACGACGACGGTTGCTCCCACCCATTCGAATTCGAACGACGAAGGTTGGCTGGCCGCCACACCTCGGTTCGATGGACCGCGAGTTCGAGGAATACGAGAACGCCATCATCGCGCAGTCCGTGAGCGCAGAGGCGGCCTCGTACGCCTGGTATCTCGCGCGCGCGTGCAAGGAGGCCTGCGCTAGCCCCGGGCAGCGAAGCGCGTGGAACGGCCCCGACGTCGATGCTGCCGTGGCTCCGTGGTCGGTGCTGCTCTCGGCGGCGTCTCCGCTCGGCGCGCACTGCATGGTGCGGCTGCGTGGCACCTGCATCGCGCTGCGCGGCGGCGTCAACACGCCCTCCTTCCTCGAGCGCATGCTGGAGTCTGCCGGCTGCTGCGGCGACCTGCGGCGCACCCGTGCCTCCGTCCGCGTCTCGCCTTGGCGAGAGCTCGACGTGGTCGGCCTGTTCAGCTTGTGGGCGAGGTGCGGCGAGGTCTAGCCGAGATCTGGGAGACGTGTGGTGGACAGGACCTTGACCCCGGCCTGCCACCGCCGCCGCCGCCGCTGCCGCCGCCTCTCCCAGACCTCACCGTCGTCTCCGCTTCCTCGCTCATCTCACCCTCGCCCGGCGTGTCGCAGGGTGAAGCGGCAGCGCGACCTGCTCGAGGCGCTCGGCCGCGCGGGCGGCGTGGTGGCGGGCGGCTTCGCGCTGCAGCGCTTGCTGCTGATCAGCGAGGGGGCTGCGCTCGGCGCGTGACCCTCCTCCATTCCCGTTCGCTGTTCGTGCCCGAACCAGTAACATAGGTGCGGAACCAGTAACATAGGTGCGGGTCGGTCCGTAGAGCGACTGGGCAAGCGAGTCGACCTCGACGTGTACGTCTCTGGCGGCGAGGCCTTCCTGCAGGCCGAGATGCAGCCGAGATATCGCCGAGGTGTAGCCGAGATGCAGCCGAGATGCAGCCGAGATGCAGCCGAAATATAGCCGTGTGCGACTCTGCGCCGTGCAGACGGCGGAACCTTCCCGGGACCTCCTCGGACCCCTCCCGGTGCTCGGAACCTGCTCGGAACCCTCTCTCTCGGAACCTGCTCGGAACCCTCGCTCAGGTGCTCCGCATCGCGCAGAGCTGGCTCTCCGCGCCCGAGCGCCGCAGGCGAGGAGTCTGCCTCCTCCGATCCCTCTCAACAACCTCTCCGTACCCTCTCCCGGCCCTCTTCCCGAGATCGCTCTCTTGGAACGTACTCTCCGCACCCTCCTCCGACCACCCTCTTAGCCTCCTCCGACCCTCCTCCGCCACGACCCTCCTCCCAACCTTCTCCGACCCTCCTCTCGACCCTCCTCCGACCCTCAGGCGCGGCCCGCCCCGCTCAGCGACCGCGACGAGCGCCGTGGTGGGCGGAAGCACTGCGGCGGCAGACTTGCCGTTTGCTTTGTCGAGCAGCCGCTTCGGTACTGGATTAGGCGGGCGGAAGCACTGCGGCGGCAGACCTGCCGTTTGCTTTGTCGAGCAGCCGCTTCGGTACTGGATTAGGCGGGCGGAAGCACTGCGGCGGCAGACCTGCCGTTTGCCGCCGTGTCGAACGCCGACGAGGAGCACTTCCCCTTCAGTGTCGGCGAGCAGGCGCCGTGCCGAGATCGCGCCAGACGTCCTACCCCTGATTGGCCGAGATTGGCCGAGATCGCACCATTGTCCGAGGGTTCGATTGGCCCGCCAGTGGCAGCTAGATTTCTGTCGGCTATCTTTCGGCCGACTGAATCTCTATCTCGGCTGCATCTCGGCTCGGTTGCATCTTCGGCTGCATCTCGGCTGTATCTCGGCTGCATCTCGCCGGGCAGGTTGCTCGCCCCCCTCCGGACTGCTTCCCGCGAGCCGCGGCAGAGCTGGCGCTGCGGCAGGTCCACTTCCCCCCTCTCCCTTCCCTTCCCTTCCCGCCGCTCCTTGCGGCCGATGCTTGTCGCACCCTCTCCACGACCTCGTGATTCGCCGCGCCCCCCCCTGCCCTCGCCTTTCAACGCAGTCAAGCCTCCCGCCCCCCTCCTTCTCCCCCCTCCTCGCCAGGTCCCCCTGCCGCCCTTCCACGCAGCCTGGGACGGGGCGGCGTGGGCGAGATCTAGCCGAGATCGAGCCGAGATCTAGCCACACATCTCTCCACTCCGGCTCTGACCACACCGCACGAGGGCGTGCGCCCTCCGCCGTGATGCCGTGCTGATGTGCTCCCGCCCTCCATTTCGCACTCCCGCCCTCCGCCCTGACGCCTCCTTGACGCGGCAGGCGAACCACTACCGCACCCCCTCCCACGCCCACTCGGTCCTCCTCGCCGCGCTGCACGCTCTCCCAGAGCAGCTGAGCGGCAGCGACGCCTCCGCCGCGGCTTGCTGCCTCGCCCGCGGAGCGCGCCCCCGGGTGTGAACGGCGTCTCTTCACGGCCGGGGCTGTGAACAGGTCTGCCGCGTCGCGCGCCTCACCGGGCCGCGACACCGGGCGGCGCACCCGTTTGTGCACGGCATCACAGTTGACGGAGACGCGCTGCCCGACGGAAACGACTACCCGATCGCCGGCTGGAGCGAGGTCACCCGAGATCACCCGAGATCGACTATCCAATCGCCTGTCGAGCTGGGCCGCACAATACCCTCGATCTCGAGATCGCCCGAGATTGCACAACGGCCAATCAGGTGCGCAACATCAACATCGTTGAGCTCGCGCCGTCGGTGCCGGCGGCGGCGGCGGTGCGCGGCTTCGACATGGAGCCGCTCAAGGCCGAGAGTAGGCGGAGATGACCCGAGATGACTCGCTTCGCCTCGCCTCACCTCACCTCGCCTCGCCTCGCCTCGCCTACCTCGCCTCGCCTCTTAAGGTGACGATGTTCATCGACGCGGCGGGGCGCTTCGCCTTCGACGCGAGCGAGCTGACCCGCGCTTGCGCCCGCCGGCGCGGGATCTAGCCGAGATCGGAGCCGAGATCGAGCCGAGATCGAGCGCAGATCGAGCCGAGATCGAGCCGAGATCGAGCCGTGGGGCCCCGTCCATGACTCGCGAGGCTGTCAGATAGGCGCGAGATCGTGCTCTCGCCCGCGCCGCTCAAGCCGGTCCCCCCCCCCCCCCCCCGCCCCGCCCGCACGAGGTTGTGAACGGCGTCTCGTCACAGCTGCGCGTGCGGGCAGGTCCGCTTCGCAAACCGCGCGCTCGCCAAGCTGGCCGCGATGGAGCTGCCGCCGCCCCCCTTTGACGAGATGCGCCACCAGCGGCTGCAGCGCATCGCGCCGGCCCTCCACGGTGTGCGCCCTCGCTAGAGGCCTCCCCGCCCCGACCCCCCCGGCCCCTGGACTG